ATACACTAATTAAATTGAATATTTTATTGAATTAAATCCTATTAACCAAGTGTAATAAAAATGGGTATTTTATGATATTTTCTTCAATAAAAAATATATTTCATTCTAAATCTAAAATATACGTTTTCAGTAGTGATGTGCCAACTCGAATCAAGTGATTCGAATTATTTGAATCAAGCCATATTTGTATCACATTTTACTTGAATTGAATCAACCCGTATCAAGCCGAGAAATATTTACTGTGATACAATATGTATTATGAATTATAACATGTGAACATAAATTTGAATAAACTTAAAAAAAAACTAGCATGGCAAATTGCTGGAACTTCCCGTATCGTAATTTAACATTTTTATAGCTGTGAAAAGAAAATTTAGATATTTTTTGAAAATTTTGAATTTTTTTCAACTTTTTTGAAAATTTTGATAACTTTAAAATATTGATATATTTTGTAAACTTGAAAAGTTTCTGAAAACCAAATTTTTAAAAATTTTGTTTTTTTTTTGTTGAAAATATGTACTACTATTATCTTATCATATAAAGTGAATGACTTTACATTCAGCTCTGCGTTTAGTTAAATAAAATAAACAAGCTGTCAAACCACGAAGGTTCTGCTTTAGTGATGCAGAAGTATTTGATTAAATTTATTGTGAATTAATGTGAAAATATATTTCAAGCGTCTCCAATCATTAATTAAATTCAAATCATTAATTATATTTAAATCAAAAATTAAATCATTTTTATAATATATATTTTTGGTAGTAATTTGTATTTAAAAATTTAACTTATTGAGTATATTGATCAAATTCAATACTTTTTTATCATATTTACTAAATAAATACATTTATAGGGCTTTTTGCCTTTTTGCCATAATAAGCTCGATTCGAATCAGGTTTTTTTCCAATTCGAATGATTTGAATCAAGAAATTCTCGCGGCAGCACATCACTACTTTTAGCTTCTGTTATTTCCTTTTTACATTTGTCACTACTTATTAAAAACTCAGCATGTTAATTTGTGATTATTCTTTCTATATGAATTATAGCAAACAAATTTTTGTATTGTTTTTTTTTTCAGGTAATTTTTACAGTGAAACTTTTGATGATTTTAATCTTCATATGTTTCTAAATTTTTCTCATAAAGATACATGAATGGATTTTATTTATTATAATATATAAGATTCACAAACATTTTTTGGTCATATGGGTATTGATAGCTGCAACAAATATTTATAAACTATTAATTGCTATCAAATGAAAAATATAGTAAGTAGTTACAAGATTGATTATTAAAATTAATTGAGCACTAAAACATAATAATCAGCACTTTGGAATAATTTAATATCACAGTCGTAAGAACGCGCTTAGTGTTTTTATATTCACAGTTTTGTCCTATCTTTATGGAATTATGGCAAATTACATATAGTTTATGTATAATTTCAAAAATATATTTAAATGTTATTGAGTTGCCAATTTTGAAATAACTAAAAGTAAGCTATGACAGAACAAAGATTAATATTGACACTTTTGAATATTTAAAATACAATCAAACATTATTATGTTCAAGGGCAAATGTAAAGTAGGAGCTCCTAATTTAAATATAGTTTAATTTTTTATATTGTCAACAAGGAAATGAAAGGTCAAAACGATGTTGTATTTAAAACGTATCTCTTAATATTCATATATATATATATACAAAACGGAACAACTTTATTATTGTCTATGTATTGTATATACATTGTAATGAAATCTGGCAAACATATGGCAATTTCTGTATGAATCGCCATGTTTGCGAATGATTTATAAGACAAACGCCACTGCCGTAAACTTTCAGCTTTTGCTTACATTTATTTTTGATGTTATGACGAGCTGCTAGATTATTTTAACAAAAATGTATCTAAGTAGGCATTTTAAAATTTATAATAGCAAAGAAATTCATATGAGTACGTTTACGTTATACTCTCTAGGTTTGTAAATTCGAAAATTATTTACTTATTCTAAATTAGAAACATTATTTTATGAGTAGTTGTCCATGCTATACATGATGAAATTATACTACTATCTGGCATATCACATCATTAGTATTGATTCCAAAAATTGTATTTTATAGAGTATTAATATCATGCACATGGACTTGGTGGTATTTAGATTAGAGGCAAAATGTGATAACTGCGCGTTGCTGCGTTGAACTGAATATACCTAATAAAACTAAAGAGTAATAGATGGCTAAAACATTGTTTTTCCTTGGAGGTTTGTTTTGACGCTGTTACTGTAAATTGACTCCTAGACACTAAATAAAACTCGCGTTGATGGCTGGTTGATTATGTACAAGATATCAATAGAGCTTTGGTTTAATATTGGTCTTGCTATATGAACATTTAATCAAATTTATGATCAATTGATTCGGTATTTTTAAGTGGGAAATGTATCTTTACGCGAAAGCTAATCTAATGAGGCCGATGTAAGCCATCGCTATAGCTTGTATAATTCATTCCATAATCCA